AGTTGGTTCTATGGCCTTGGTGCCTTATAAAATCAGAAATAGAGCTAGAAAGAACCCAAATCTCATCATTACTTTCATACTACTTTGCTTCTCTTCTTTTACCCCCAAAAAAACAAAAAACATACAAGCAAAATAAAACCCTATATTAAAGTTTTTTAAAATGCGTTTTAGTACTTTACCATCTTTTATTTCTAGCATCCTTTCTTGTATACTAACTTAGTTTCCAAACTAGATTATAATCTCCCTGAGAACCTTTTTTTTTCCATTTCCCTCACCCTATAATATTTAATTTAGCAGCTCTTCCCTTTCTTCCTTGTCTCTATCCAATATCCAAGAGAAAAATTTATTTTTAATCCTTGTTAGCCAGTGGAAAACTAAATCGGGCCAGAACCAGGAAGGCTGATGTCCTTAACAGAAAAGCAGAATGTCCATGTGTTCTGGATTACATAAACTTCTATATAACAGACTTAAAGAATCTCAGATGTGTTAGGTACCTCAGTGGCCATCTAGTCTAACCAGACCAAGAGTTTCCTCTATAATATCTCCAACAAATTTCTAACCAAGGATCCCACTGCCTTCTGAGGCATCCTCTTCCATTTTTAGATAGTTTTAATTATTAATTCAGAAGTTTTTTTATTTATTTCAAAGCAAATTGCTGCTTTGTAATTTACTCACATTTTTCCTAGTTGTGCCCTTTAAAGCCAAGCAGAATGAGTCTAATCCCACTTCCATATGTTAGCCCATCAAATACTTAAAGACATTTTCTATATCTTTCTTCCCAAGTTCTTTATTCTCTAGTCTAAACATCCTTCCTTCATTTGATTCTCATAAGACATTATCTCAAGGCCCTTTCCTGTCCTGGTCACCCTCCTCTGAATGTCCTCATGCCTATCAATGTTCATCCTAAAACAAAGAACCCAGAACTGAAAATAGTACTGCAGATGTGGTGTGACCCAAGCAAAATATAGTAGTACTTCCAGCTCCTTAGTCCTGAGCATTGTACTTTTCCTAATGAAGCCAAAGAGAGGCAGCATCATGACATAGCAGATAAGGCTGGACTGGGAGTCAGAAAGACCTGCATCCTTTCTAACACTTAACTGGATATATGACCTTGGACAAATCAGCCTCTGTGTGTTTCAGGCAGCTCCCTAGGATTTAGATGATAAGTTCTAGTTGAGTTTATATAGAGTTAAAGCCAAGTAGAATTCTAGGGATAATCTAGTTTAACCCTCCCATTTTGAAAAAAAAAAAAAAAAAGGGCCCAGGAAGATGTTCAAGGTGACATCCTGGGTTGCTACAGGAACTTGTAATTTGCTGAGCTACCATTAGTGATCTTTGTAAAATCACAGAGAATGGAAATGTGTCACAAGGCTGCAGAAAAGTGAATGTCAAACTTTTTTATAATGAAGGAAGAGGGTAAAAACTTCAAACTGTAGTCCAGTGAGATTAATTCCTGTAAAAATTGTAGGTTTTTCATGCAAAAGATGGTTTGTAACATTTGAGACCTACCACAATTTAGTATAGAACAGGTCCTGTCATATTAACCTCATTTTCTTTTTTGATGGAGCATACTAAGTAAGACTTGGTAGACGAAAGAAATGCTGAAGATACAATATCCCTGGATTTTAGCAAAGCATTGTCAAGCTTTTTTATGTAATACTGTTCTAAAGCTGGAGGAATGTGGGCAAGATGATAGTACCATTTGATAGCTTCAGAGCTGATGTAGCCGTTTGGATCAATTCTAAGTCAACATTGGTCTCTAATGTGCTTCCCCCTTACCTATCATTATTCCCATGCATCTATTTTTTTTTCATGAGTTATACATTTCATATCCATTGACAAACATGTAAGGACAACAATAAAGAGAAAAGATTATGATTTCACACATGAAGTAGTAAAATTTTATTTGTAATGTGCTCCACAAAAGAAAAAAAAAACTCCCAAGACTAGATGCATTTACAAGCAAATTATACCAAACATTTAAAGAACAATTAATTTCAATACTGTGTAAACTGTTTGAAAAATAGGTATAGAAGGGGTCCTGAATTCCTTTTGTGGCGTAAATAATGGTTTTGATACCTAAATTAGGGAGAACAGAAATAGAAAAGAAAAATGATAGACCAATTTCCTAAATGAATATTAATGCAAGAATTTTAAATAAAATACTAGCAAAGAGATTACAACAGTGTATCACAAAGATCATACACTATGACCAAGCTAGGAATGCAGGACTGCTTCAATATTAGAAAAAAACTATAAGCATAATTGCTCATATCAATAACAAAAACAACAAAAGTCATGATTATTTAAATAAATGCAGAAAAATCTTTTGACAAAGTTCAACACCCAGTCTTATTAAAAACACTAGAAAACAAAGGAATAAATGAAACTTTTTAAAAAATGATTAAGAGTAAACATTATCTACAATGAAGATAAATTAAAAACCTTTACAGATATCAGGGGTGAAGCGAGGATGTCCATCCTCATTATCGTTATTCAATATTGTACAATATTGTACTAACTGTCACAGCTAGCTATAACAATAAGACAAGAAAAAGAAATTGAAGCTTAGGCAATGAGAAAAGAAAACTATCTTTTTGCAGATGATAAGAGTGTTTTACCTAGAGAACTCTAGAGAGTTAACTAAAAAACCAATCAAAACAATTAACAACTTCAACAAAGTTGCAGCGTATAAAATAAACCCAAATAATCATCAGCATTTCTGTATGTTGCCACCAAATAAATGAGAACAGTTTAAAGTACTTGGGAGTCTACCAGCCAAGACACACACAAGTATGAACACAGTTACAAAACACTTCGTACAAATGAAAATGTAAATAATATGAAATGTATTAATTGCTCGTGGATAGGCTGAGCCAGTATAATAAAGATGACAATACTAGCTCAATTAATTTACTTTTTCAGTGTCATATCAAACAAACTGCCAAAAAATTACTTTATAGAGCTAGGAAAAAATAACAAAATTCATCTAGAGGATCAAAATGTCAAGAATATCAAGAGAATTAGTGGGAAAGAAAAAATGGACAGGAAAGTGACCTAGCAGTACCAGATTTCAAACTATACTGTAAAGCTATAATAGCCAAAATAATTTGGTACCAGCTAAGAAATAGAGTCTGGTCAGTAGAACAGATTAGGTACACAACATACAAAGGCAAATGAGCATAGTAGACTAGTGTTTGACAAACCCAAAGATCCCAGCTACTGGAGCAAGAACTCATTATTTGCCAAAAACTACTGGGAAAACTGGCAAGCAGTCTAGCAGAAAGAAGTCATAGCTCAACATCTCACACTGTATACCAAGATGAGGTCAAAATAAGTACATGATTTAGACATAAACGGTGATACCAAAAGCAAATTAGAGGAGTGTGGAAGAAATTGCCTGTCAGATCTGTAGTTACACAAAGAGTTCATAAACCAAACAAGGGATAGAGAGGTTTATGGGAGGTAAAAATGGGTAATTTTGCTTACATAAAATTAAGAAGTTTTTTACACACACAAACCAATGCAGCCAAAAATAGAAGAAACTGGAGAGGAAATGTTATAGCAAATGTCTCTGATAAAAGCCTCATTTCTAAAATAAAGAACTGAGTCAAATCTATAAGAATACAAGTCATTCCCCAATTAATAAATGGTCAAATGATATGAATAGGCAGTTTTCAGACAAATCAAAGTTATCTGTAGTCATATGATAAAATGCTCTATATACTATTGATTGGAGAAATGCAAATTAAAACAACTTTGAGGTACCACCTCACATCTATCACATTGGCTAAGATGACAGAAAAGGAAAATGACAAATGCTGGAGGGGGTATGGGAAAATAGGTGCACTAATGCACTGTTGGTAGAGTTGTGAAGAGGTCCAACCTTTCAGAGAACAATATGAAATTATTCCAATATGGAACTGTCCAAAAAGCTAGCAAACTCTATATATCCTTGACTCAGTAATACCACTGCTAGGCATATGCCCCAAAGAGATAAAAAGAAAAAAGGAAAAGAAACATATGTGCAAAGATATTTATAGCACCATTTTTTGTGGTGGCAAAAAAATAAGAAATTGAAGGAAATCCTCATCAGTTGGTGAAAGACTGAACATGATATGGAATATGAATGTGATGAGATACTGTTTGGCTGTGAGATGAAAGCAATAGATTCAGAAAAACCTGGGAAGATTTTTATGAACTGATTCAAAGTGAATTGGAGAGAACCAGGGGAATAATTTACATAGCAACAGCAATATTGTAAAGTTAATCAGCTCTGAAAGACTTAGTAACTCTGATCAATACAATAATCCACTCAAGTTCCAAAGGACTTAGAAGAAAAATGCTCTCCACCTCCAAACAGAGAACTGATGGACTTAGAATGCAGATTGTAGCATACTTTTTTCTCTTTCTTTTTCTTTTATTTTTTTCCACAAGACTTTTCTAATGTAGAGGTATATTTTACATGATATCATGTGGTTAATGGATATTGAATCATAACTGTTTCCAGGTGATTCAGCACTTTTTTGCAATGAGATCTTTTCCCTTATTCTCTGTGTTGCACAATTAAGCCATATAATCGGGATGGGAAGAGAAATGGGGAAGGAAATGCTTAGTTCTGGTGTTCCCTCACCATTCCTTAGAGGCTATAGTATCAATGGAAGATTCTTTGACTTCTGGCATTCACCTTTCAATTCTGAATAGTTAACCCTAGTTAGCCCCATTTGGAGTAATCCCAAAGTCATATAATTTTTACTCTTGGAGTATTAGAAACAAGAATTTCCATTTTTAAGTATTAAAGATAGCTGTTTATTTTTCTGCATTTGCCATTTTGGTTCCTTCTGTACTACTTAGGCAAAATATTTAGAAGCAAATTATTAAACCAGAAATAATATACATAACTTCTTTTATACTGCTCTTTAAAATAGCCCTTTCAGTTAAGTAAAATTTGATCCTATAATTATTTCCTTTTTGTGATATTTTGTATTCTTTTTTTAAAGGATCAAAGTAATAATGAAATTATGATTGGTGTAATGTCAGGAGGAATACTAATTTACAAGAACAGGGTACGAATGAACACCTTTCCATGGTAAGAAATTCTGTTAATACCTTTTCTTTTACATTTGTATCTGATGTTTGTTGGATTTCAAAAAAATCACCTAATTTTTTTTTGTCCAGTATTTGAATCTTACTTGTCAGTTGAAACTTGTGTTTAACTACATTTTTAATCATTTTTAATTTCCAACATGACTAAAGTTGAAATGTCCACTGAGTCTGCTTCTTGTCATCAGTCTAGCTATTGTGGTTGCCTTTTAATCATTTATTTTTCCTCAAAATAGACTAATTTTTTGCAACTATATTTTTATAGATTTTTCCTCGATATCCTGTGGTACATCCAGTTACATCCAGTGAACTCAATACACAACACTGGCCAATCTTAGTCATATATGTTTGCTGCCATCAATTAGGGACGAGGAAGATCACATTCACAGAATCACCAGGTTCAGAAGGCACCTCAGATAGTGTCTATTTCAATTCATTACCTACATAGAAATCCCTTCTACTGCATCCCTAGCAGGTACTCATCTCATCTTGAAGGACTGTTGAAAAGGAATTCAATACATACCAAGGCAACCCATTCTATTTTTGGGTAGCTCTAATTGTTGAAAATTTTTTCTTGCTTCATGCCTAAATCTTCCTCTCTGCAGCTTCAACCCATTCGTCCTAGTTCTGCCTTCGGGGGTTGGGGTAAGTAGAACAAGTCTAATCCCTCTTTCACATAAGTTTTTTAAATACTTGAAGACAACTAACATATCCTTCCCTAACTCTTTTCTTTTCCAGGCCTAACATCCCCAGTTCCTTACATTCCTTCTCATAAGGCCCCTCATCATTATGTTATCTCTTTCTGGATATACTCCAATTTGTCCACATTCCCCCCTAAAATGTGGTACCCTTAGTTACAAGATATTGCTAATACAGCTTGACCAGAGTAAAAAAAAAAAATGGAACTGTTACAAGTTTCTTAAGTGTATGGATACATCTGACACTGTCTCTTAATGTAAATTAAATTTGAGGTAGCTTCTTTTTGGTTGCAAGCACTGCACTGTTGTTGTCTGCTATTACATTTATAATACACTGAAAGCACTGGGTCTATTTTCTAGACACACTACATATTTACATTCCCTTTAAGCTTTCTCTCTCTCTTTCTCTATACATATATATATGTGTGTGTGTGTATATATATATATATATATATATGATTTTATACTTGTGTAGTTAACCTTTTTTAATCCAAATGTAAACTTTATCTCACTACCCCTCCTTTTTTTTTCGTTTTATTTGATTCAGCTTGTCATCTAGCCTCTCAAGATCTCTTTCATTCCTGATTGTAATCCAGTATGTTAACTATCTCTCCCTAAAATTTGTTTTATCTAAAAATTTGATAAGCATATCATCTGCCTTCATCCAACTTTTTATCAGTAAATTGTAGAATAGAGCAGATAAGCACAACCTAGAAATAAACACACAGTGACACACACATAACACATAGAACAAACTAGTAGGCAAAGGATGCTTTTTTTTCCCTCAGGAAACTGATGAAAAATAGATTTACATCAGCATTTTATACCATATTGTAATAAATTTCAAGTAGATATGTAATCTAAATATAAAGTTTATACCATTTAAAAATTAGAGAGTAGAACATTATTTCTTTTCCAAATAGGAATGAGGGAGCAATTCATAATTAGACATAGGATTAGGGAGATGATAAAAGACAAAATACAAAATCTGACTGTAGAGAATTGAAAAACTTTTACACAAATAAAATCAGTTATCTAGAATCAGAAGAAAAGACATAGGTATTCATTGATTAAGAAAATACGTGATGACAAGCTATTATGATTTCAGTAACACTTTTAAGTGAATTAATATTTTATTAAGCATTGTACCATCTTCGTTTGTAAAATAGTAATACGTGTATATGTAAAACATTTAGTCTTCCAAAGGAGTTTATTTTATTATATTGAATCATGATGCATCTTTTGTTAGTGCTAAATAATAATAATACCAATAACTGACATTTATATAACACACTAAGAAAAAATGATAAAAATACAACTCCTTGTTCTCCATGGTGGTAGATAGGATAGGGGTTGGTGGGCACATTGAGTGCAGAATGTTCTATACTTGAACAAATACAGCCTTTGTGTTACTTGGTTTTGCTTAATTGTTTTCCTTTGTTTAAAGGGAAAGTGGTGGAAGGGGATGGTATTGGGAAATTAGTAGCAGAAAAAAGCATCAGTAAAACAAAATAATATCAGGGAATTGAACTAGGTTAGCTTTAAGTTGCTTTTTAACTCCTGGATAAATCTTGGGTGTTTATAATTTGGGGGGGGCAGCAGGGAGAGCATAAAGGATAGAACACAAAAACTAAAACATCTATGTGAATACATGTATATGTGTGGATGGACATACAGACCTTTTAGAACAGAGCTGTTTTGGGGCAGCTTGGTGGCACAGTGGATAGAGCACCGGCCCTGAAGTCAGGAGGACCTGAGTTCAAATGCGGTCCCAGACCAAACACTTGATACATACTAGCTGTGTGACCTTGGGCAAGTCACTTAACCCTGATTGCCTCACTTTAAAAAAAATATATAGATAGATAGATAGATAGATACAGATATAAATATATAGAACAGAGCTGTTTCTGCTGTACATCATAGCATATATAAATACATATATACAAGTATGTTGTTCAGTTGTGTCTGACCCTTTGTGACACTGTGGACCATACTATCCATGGAATTCTCTTGGCTAAGATACTGGAGTGATTTGCCATTCCTTTTTCAATGGATTAAGGCAAACAGAGATTAAGTGACTTGCCCAGGGTCACACAGCTAGTGTCTGAGGTCAGATTTGAACTCAGGTCTTCCTGACTCCAGACCCAGTCACCTACCTATCTCTTTTCGGCTATGAATTCCATGTCTTATATGTATTTATAACCTTAGCTAAAAAGTTCTTATTTGAAGGGGAAATAGCAATGTTCTCCCCCCAAAATAACATAAAGTAGAGAATTCTTTTTATGCAGATTTCACTTCATTTGCTTCCTTCAAAGATAACTTTAAGTTATTTGCCAGTGTCCTGGCCTTTGGCAGTACAGACACTGACTATTAATATAAAATTAATGTTCCCTTCAGTGTGTCTGTTTCTGTCACTTGCTAAAGATCCCCCAAAGCTAGATTTCTGTAACATTGGACCCTTTCAGTTCCTTATTATAGAGATTGAAGTTTAAAGAAATTTAAGTGACATTTATAGCTGTGTGTTATAATACAAGGGACAGAGTCTTCCACTGCTGGTGATTCCATTTTGTGTCCTTTTGAAAAACATCTCAGATCACAGATATGTATGCACCTGCAAGAACGGGTTTTTTTGCATTTAAGTTGTCCATTAGGGGAAAAGTGGTTTAAGAATAAATTAAAATGGTTTTGAAATGTAAGTTTAATTTTTTAAAAAAATTGACCAAGTATTAATCCTGTAAACTATAAAACCTCAAACTTTATATTCGATAACATTTGTGATTTAGAATTTGTTAGAATCACCTCATGGGCATTTTAGAAAGTCTAATATATTTTGGAAATTGGTTCAAACTTCTGTTCAAATTGCAATATTAAATTTAAATCTTTATGATTTTAGCAGTCTATATGCAATTATAAACTTAACCAAGTAATTATTTTCATTTGCTGTAATATTTTATTCAAGTCATAGGAAAATTTCAGTCAATAATTTTTTGGCAACATCTTTCTAAACAGTTAATGATTTGTAAAAAAAAAATGTATTGTGAATAGATGTGGTTATTGTCATGGAATAAATCTGTTCTTTTCTTGTTTTAATCATTTTTGGCATATATGTCTTGAATATTCCAGTTTGATTTTTTTTTAATAGGTTGAAGATTGTAAAAATTTCATTTAAATGCAAGCAGTTTTTTATTCAACTTAGGAAAGAATTGGTAAGTAACAATCTTATCTTGTCAAATCAACATAGAAATTATGATATATTTTTAGAGAGGAATGTAACCATTTTTATATTATAAACTTTTCCCATTTTGCTCGGTAGAAGAGGCTCATATAATTGCATTGCTGTAACTTCTTTTGAATGAATTTGTGTGTAAATTTTAAGTACTGACACATTTTAAAATCATATCAAGTATATGTGACTTCAGATAAGATTCCTTTTAGTTAGGACATGATATTTATTACTTTAAAGATAACTTTAAAGATCCTCATTGGGTACACCTTATACTAATGAAATTACAGACTAGATAAAAACAATAAAAAGTCCTTAAAAATGACAGAGTGTGCTAAGATTGACAGCTATTTGACCATTTATAAAGATTTACTGTTGATAATCCAAATATAATGACCACACAATTGATATACTTTTGGGGGCACAAAACAAAACTGTACCAATATTAATATTTTCATGAAAAACAGAAAGTGGACGGGAGATGGAGAAGGGAAATTACACATATGTAGTAAACGCAAGAATTCCTCACAGGTTTTTTTCTAAGAGACAGCGACCAAAGAATTGACATATTGGTTTCATTGTGTGCCCAGAGGCAAAAAAGAGCAGTCTTTTTGTGGGACACTTGGCCATACTTGTAATAAGCATGAGTCAAAGGAAACATTGGAAAGAAAATTGCAGTTTGTGTGCTAATATCTGTTACAAGTGGTAAAGAAAGATAAAAATTCTATATAGAACTTGAAAAAATTCTTCAAACCAAGTCAAGTGTACTTCCTACCTTTAATGTGAAGGTAAACATATGGGAAACCACATAGGATAATAGAAAGAACACTGGTTTTAGAGTCAAAGGACTTGGGTTCAGATCCTGACAGTCCCATTTACTGCATCTATGACATTTGGCAAGGTCTTTCTCTTTCTAAGTCTTAATTTTCCCTTTTAGAAAGTGAAGCAGTTAGTCTTGGTTAATTCTGAGGTCCCTTTTAGCTGTAAATCTATGATCTATGAAAAATTGGAAAGAATGGCTCAGTTTTGAGAAATGAAGGAGGCCAACTACTTGTAGACTGGTCAGAAGCTTCACATCTATACACCATAAATACATTCTTCCAGAAAGAGTTGGAAGGTGCTAGACATGGCAAAAATGGAATGACATCACACACAAAAATGAATTTGATTATGTGTTAATAGAAAAAAAAAATTATTGTGGAAGGGCTACCAAAATCAACTATCTTACTGTTAGAGTGTCATCTAGATAAAGCAAAAGTCAAATTTAAACTCAAATTAGAAAAAAATGAGAAAAGGTCATTGTTTTAACCTGAACTACTTAAATAACCTATGGTGATACTCCTATAAATAGGAAATAGAATGAGTCATATATATGGCGATCTTGATTGTCACCATTACCCTCAAGAATTAATCAAGGAGTGCTCAAAAATCAGCTTAGCCAGCAAACACTTGATTCCCTTTCCATTCAGTTATATAAGCCAGGGGCAGCTAGGTGGCGCAGTGCATAGAGCACCGGCTCTGAAGTCAGGAAGACCTCAGTTCAGATCCAGCCTCAGACCAAACAGTTGACACTTACTAGCTGTGTGACCCTGGGCAAATCACTTAACCCCAATTGCCTAAAAATTTAAAAAAAAAAAAAAGAAATCTCAAAGTTACAGAAGCCAAAGACCACATCAGTTTTTAATACAGATTCATTTGAATTCATAGCTTATATTAATACCCCAAAGAGATGGCCCAGAAGACATCATTTATCTCTCAACTCATGTGTTTTTCTTTATGAGATTTATATATACACATCCTGGGTGTGAAAATATGAAGGAAAAAATGGACAGATTTTCACAAAGGATTTTTTTATGGCAGATCTATCTTTGTAATGATGAAATTAACTATAAGGGGCAGAGAATATAGGAGGGGTACGATAGAGCAATTGAAAATATTTGAAATCAGAAGACCTTGATCTGAATCTTGTTCCTGCCATTTACTACCTTTGTGACTTTAGGCAAGTTCTTTTAACCTCTCTAGGCCTCATCTTCCTCATCTGTATAATGAGCAATTTTAATTAAAAAACCTCTTAGCTTTCCTTCTAGCTTTAAATCTATCATCTATTCAAGAACATAGACAAAGTTTACTCAGAATAAAAGGGCATGGATGGGTTGCATTCATTGCCAGTAGAGGGAATTGATTAATAAATTGATAAAGTCAGATATTCCTTTAAATGTCACCTGCCTCATACATGGCTGACAACTATAATAAAAATTAAATTTTAATTATAGTAATTTGATTGACATGAGGTTTTGTTTCTGCACACACACAAAAAAACCCTTTTCCTTTTTTTGATATGGTTCCAGTTCAGAGTTTTCCTAACTAGCCTGTTACTGTATAACATTCCTTAAATAAAGAGGTTACCTTCCCATTCAGGGATATAAATTGTTACATCTACATGGTTATTTTAAAAGGGCATTAACATGATGCTTAATAGCATCAGTTTCTTTGCTCTGCTTTATTCAGATCACTTGCTTTCACTCAGTTCTTAGACTGGTCCCTTCTCCAAAGAAACTCAGCCCTGTCCTATCTTGCTTTTAATGCAGGTAGGCTCAGAATAAGAGATCTAATTTTTATTACAACTAAGAAAGGACTTTGTGATAAAAGGTATCAGATAAGAATTAGAGTTATGTAACACATCTAGAAGGTCAGTCTTTTTATCAATTTTTAATTCAATTTTTTGAATATTAAATTTTTATCAAATTTATCAAAAATATTCAATTTTTTATATTTAATAGGAATGGATATGTATAGCCTATATCAGATTGCATGCCATCTTTGGGAGAGAAAAGGGGAGAAAAATTTAAAACTCAAAAGATTATGGAAGTGATTGTTGATAAATCAAAATAAATTAATAAAAAATTTTCCAAAAATATTCAATTTTTTATCAGTTTTTATCAATTAGTCATATTTTATGGATAATAATGGGAAAAACTTAAAGGACAAACCAACTCTGCGTATGTTAGGTCAATACTATCCTTACAGGAATCATGGCTCATTATTACAGCATCAGAGTGAGGTTTTTTGTTTGGGTTTTTTTTTTTTGGGGTAAGGCAATTGGGGTTAAGTGACTTGCCCAGAGTCACATAACTAGTGAGTGTTATGTGTCTGAGGCTAGATTTGAACTCAGGTCCTCCTGACTCCAGGGCCAGTGCTCTATCCACTGTGCCACCTAGCTGTCCCCCAGAGTATGAGTTTTAAAAGAACATGATGTTTCCCTTTAGTGTATTAATTTCTTATTTCAGCCGATAGATAGATCAAGGTTGCATTGTAGTATAAAAAAGCGTGCTGTTCTTGAGGTCAGAAAATACTTGGGTGGAAGTTCTACCTCCATTCTTATTAGTCATATAACCACAGGGAAGTTGCTAATCTCTGTGAACCTCAGTTTCTGCATATTTCAATATGTAACCTTGAACATCTGTAGGCCTCAGTTTCCTTATCTTTAAAATGAGGGTATTGGTATGAGGTTTCATCTCATTCACATCAGACAAGCAAAGATGATTTAAAGGGGAAAAAAAAGAAAATAGTAATTGTCAGAGAGGCTGTGAGAGGATAGACACACTAGTGTGCTGCTGGGAATTGGTTCCAGAATTGATTCTGGAAAAGAGTTTGGAAATTTAAATAAGAAGTTACTAACTAATATATATCCTTTGACCTACCAAAACTACAATTAGACATGTACCACTAGGAGGTCAGAGACAGAAGGAAAAGCCTTCTATGTTTAAGAATGTTTTAGCAGCTGTTTTTTCGTGACAGAAAGCTAGAAATAATAGGGACTTATCAGTTACAGAATGTCTGAACAAATTATGATACATGAATACAGTGTAATATTATTGTGTGGTAAGAAATGGGGAATATGATAAATTCAGAAAAATATGGAAAGATATGTGTGAAGTGAACAAGTGAGGTGACTAGAAGCAGAAAAGCAAATTATACTTTGACCAAAATAATGTGAAGAGAAACATCTGTGAAAGACCTAAAAACATTGATTAAAGAAAAAATCTTATCCTAATTTAAAGAGACTTCTGATGAAACACATCTTATAACTCTTGGTTATGAGGTGATGGACTTAAGACATGTTTCTCATACATGGCCAATATCTTGATTTGTTTTTCTTGACTATACATATGTATTATAAGGGAGGATTTTTACTCAGAGATGGGGGTAAAAGAGAAGGCAAGATAGATTGGTAGGCAGTGATATATATGAATATTAAGAATATCTACTAATACCTAGATTAATACTCCCATATATTTGTTTTTAAAAAAACAAAACCTTAGATGTGGTAGAAGTTCAATTTCTTCCTTATCTTGATGATTATTGGTGCCTGAATTTAAATACTTTTTTTCTAAATTAAAAAAAGTCATATAAAAGAATTAGACTAGATATCTAACTTAGTGTCCCTTCTAACTCTAATTCTATGCTCCTTTTATCCTGTGACCTCACAGGTGTGTTGTGAGGATCTACATTGATAATGTATACAAAGTATTTCTGCTACCTTTTAAGTATCATACAAATAAATCCAAATTGATATTATCTTCCTATCTTTTGCCATGATGTACTTAATAATTCCTCACATGCATGTTAAGTACCTACTAGGTTTAGAATACTTCATTTAGTACTTGGTCAAAATATAAAAAAATAAGAATATCAATCATTGCTCTTATGAAATTCACAATCTAATAGCCAAAAACAAATACTTAATTTTCATTTCTTAGAAATTAATTGCTGAATAATTAATTAATTGCTGTAAATTAATGTCAAGTCAGAGCTTTTTTGGTAACTGTTAGATCAAAAAAGTTATCTCAAGATAATTCAAACCCTACTTATTCTCTGAAGCACATTAGAATGAATATGGATGAAAAGCGTTTAAGCATGTATCAAACACTGTATTAAACTTGGGATACGAAAACAAGCAAGCAAACAAGTCAAGAACTTATATTTTAGTGGAGGAAGACAGGAGCTAGAAGGAGAGAGGAATAGCATGGTTTGGAAATGGCCGGGAAGTGACATAGAGACTCAGTTCCAGTCAAGATAAGGCAAAAGTTCACCTATAAAAGCCCACCATCCTAAGGGCATAGTTCAAGATTCTAGTATGAGAAGGAAAAAGAGAGTGGCTTAGAGTGCAGCTATGATAATGTAGAAATGGCTAGGAAATGATATGTCTGGTTGAAGTAGTCAGCCTTAGAGCCAAGACTGAAGGGAAGAAAGTAAGGTCAGAACATTTGTGAAGGACTAGTAGAATAGCAGAGAGTCAAGGGATTAGACACCATGATGACAATGAAGAATATGGTTAGGATGAGTTCAAATTAAGATAGCAACATGGAACGTCAATAATGAATCTAGCTTTCCCACTCATGTTGTAGACGATACCTGAAAGAGGTATCAGATAGAGCAGTGATAAAGAAAATTGAAGAAAAATGGAAATGATTTCCGCTACCTAGTCCAAATTTGCACAGAAGTTGATGGAACTTAGCAGAGAGCATTCTTACCAACAAAGTCAGGGTAAGCTCTGGGAAAATCAGTGTGGCAGCTGTGTGGGTAATAAACTCATTCTAAAGGTCTTAGAAGGTTTACGCTAACTTATTGGCCAGTATAAGCAACAGCGCACCAGCCTAAAGCCTGTGTGTGGATGATCAGATGGAAAGATGCCAGGGAGGCTAGCACAAGGAACATCAGGAGACCTGGGTACCTATCCAGAAGGGATGAGAATACGGGATTCTGGGAATATTGATACTTAACATCTACTTGGCACTGGTCTAAGTGACAGCACCAGATAAAACTTAGTCCTGATTGGGGAATGTAGAGAAAATGACTATGGTTGTTGGGCTAAGGCCAATACCCACAGTGGACCACCAGGAAATGGAGATCAAAGACAGAGTTGAAGTCAGAGACAAGTGCCGCTCCCCTTCCCCCAGGATGGCAGCATCTAAACCACAGAGTAGTAAGTGTCAAATAGGAAACTACCCAGCTGACCCAGGAATGCTTTAGAGGGCAGATCCTTTCCTTGGTACAATCTCAAATTCAGGAACCAAAAGGCTGGTAATATGAGTAAACTATTGTTGTTTGTCCTTTGTTCTCGAAGAGGATCATGACATCAAGAAGGTGATGCCGTGACTTGCAAGTGAATTGGATTTAAGTGAGGGAGGGCAATGTAAAGTCACCAGCCTCACTTTCTCCTCCGGAGCCATCTGGGTCCAGTGGCAAGATATAGATCAGGACAACAGGAGATGGCCCCAGATGTAGTGGGAGACCTTAGCCTTTTCAAACTAAGATCTTTCCCAGGTCTCACTTTGACTGAGGCAATGCTTATTCGCTGATTAAGGCTAGGTAAGAAAGGAGTAAACTAATGAAAACACCAAATATACTTGCTTCTTCACACATTTTAGAACCCAGCACTGTTGTCCTACTTGAAAGTTGCTTATGTGTAGCGCTCCATCTCCTGACTCTATGCTTTTATAATCACCGGTGCCTGTGATATTCTTCCTCCTCACCTCCCCTTCTTAAAAATTCAGCTGGGGGGGGGGGGGGCAGCTAGGTGGTACAGTACATAGAGCACCAGCTCTGGAGTCAGGAGGACCCAAGTTCAAATCCGACCTCAGACACTTGACACCTACTAGCTGTGTGACCCTGAGCAAGTCACTTAACCCCATTGCCTAGCCCCCCAGAAAAAAAAATCAACTCAGCAGTTTGGAATTATGCAAATAGAAAACTAAGACGCGTATACCTTTTGAAACAAAAATTACACTGCAGGGCATCAAGCCAGGGTTATTGTTGACAAAGAGGAAATTTAAGGTATATAAAAACAAATCAAATCAGTAAAAATCTATTTTTTAAAAAGACTTGATTCAGATACCACCCTCTGAAGCGAGCCTTTAACAGGCTCCTCTCCCTACCCATCAGTGCTTCTTTCTCTGAAATTTCCATCCATGTATACAATATTTCTCACATGTGTGTGTTATTTGAATGTTGTTTCCCACAATTGAATGAGTTCATTGAGAGCATAGACTGTAATTTTGCCTTTCTGATACTGAGCACAAAGCCTGGCACATAGTAGGTGCTTAATAGGTAGATAGTCTTAACCAATTTGTGAGCTCCCTGAAAAATACAATGAAGCAAACAGAAGTCAATGGTTCCCTGATACAATAAGAAATATTGAACAAAGTGAAAGGATATAAAGAATAGAAGAAAATGTACTATTGAAAAAACAACAACAGACCTTGAAAAGAAGTTGAGGAGAGATCATTTAAGAATCTTTAGACTCCCTGAAAAAACGTGACCAAAAAAAAAGCTGGACACCATATTTCAAGAAATCAAAAGAGAAGATTGCCCACAGACTATTAGAGCTAAAGAGCAAAATGAAAATAGAAGCAATCCACCGATAACCTCTTAATAGAACCTCCACACAGAAAACATTCAGTTATTTCAAATTCCTAAGCTTCCAAATTAAAGAAAAAAAATACTAAAAGTAGCCAGAAGAGTTCAAATTACAAGGAACCCCATTCAGGATCATTTTATATTCTACAACTGTGAGAGAGAAAATCTTGGTAAAGGCAAAAGATGAAGGCTTACAATCAAGGGTAGTTTACCCTGTAGGAGTTACATAATCTTTCTGGGGAACAAAGGGGCCGTTAGTAGAATAGATGATTTCTCAAGCTTTCTTGATGAAAAGATCAGAGCTGGGAAGAAATTCTGAAATGCAAACACTTCAGGTAAGAGAAATCTAGAAATATAAATATTTGTGAGCAATTGGAATTGGCTAAATAATGATTAATGGCTTACATTCTAAAAAAGGGAACATAGATAAGTGTCCCTTTAGAATCCCACTGTCTTCAGAGGTCTTAGACATATACAGGACCTAGGGGTGGTTTGGCTGCGTTTTGTTGGCTTTGCCAGAGTAAGGAAAAGTGAGAGGAGAAAAGAAGTATATTAGGGAAAAAGTTAGGAATTAGGAGGAAAAACTTATTTCTCATAATTGGGGTACATGAGCAAAAAGAGTATACAACCGTGGAAGGGCAAGTATGTCATGAACCTTATTCATTTCAGGCAGACAAAGGCAGGCTTGAATGTATAAAATAGATACATAGGTAATGACACAGATGACAAGGAATTTTTTTTTTAGGAGTGATTGGGGACATTTGGGAAATTGTGATGGTGATGCAAAAAAAAAAAAAAAGAAAACAAAAGAGCATCAGAGAAACTTTTTAAAAATAAAGAAAAGTGAGCAGAAGGTGGCAGAGAAGCCAGAGAGTGTTGGTCCTACCTACCATGATACATTAAATATACTTTTAAAAATAAACTGATTTCACATATAAATCCTCTTTTTCTGTTCTTTTTCTGTGAAAATGTTCATATTTGTTGATGATTGTCAAGTTCATAATTCAGAACAGAACAAACTACAAAATCTCTTTTCTACGTGCATAGCTGATGTCTTGGAATGGGAAGAGGCCAAAGGTAGGGATGCTAGACAGGAGTCTATTGCAGTAGTATAGATGAGAGCCTGAACTTGAGTTGATGGCTTTTTAAGTAGAGGGTGAAATAATATGTAAGAAGTATTGTGTATTTAGAAGCAAGATTTATCAGATGTAGGGTGCGTATCAGGAGTCAAAGGATGATGTGAAGGTGTGAAACTTGATGACTTTGTGATGCCTGACAGAAATAGAGAATCTACTATTTTGAAACAAAATGGAGACTCTCATTTTAGTTTTATAAAGAAGTTTGGTACTTAGTTATTGGTTACCAGGAGATGTAACCTCATTTGTCTTTATATATGTGCTTACTAAGCGAAGCACTAAGATAAAACAAAAGGTGGGCATTTCTAGAATGAGTGAATAAAAAATCATTGATTAAGCACTAATGCCAAGAACTAAGAGCTCGGAATACAAATAGAAAAAATGAGACACTTCCTGCTTACCAATTTCACCTTTCAGTTGGGATGACAACACATTTAAAAGAGTTCAGCTTTACAGTTGATGGAAATATCTGTGATTATAAGTATTCTGTGGCAAGGTAGGTGACTAAGCCCCATTGATCTGGAGTGAATAATAGCAAGGCAATATGGTAAGACCTGACAGACCTTAGCACACAGTGGCAATTCAAATGCAGAGTTCTTGTGATCCTCCATATCACTGGGAAAATTGTAGTTGTTGAATCAATGTAAACATCATCCAGATTATGTCAAGAGCCTTGTTTTTCTACTTGGCCATCCATGGGTTGCACAGGTTGTCAGGAGAGGAGCAGAGTGTGAGGATGGGAAAAGGGGACACTCACTGACATTGGCTCTTCTTCCCTGGTATTCTAACAGCTTGGCTATAAATCCTTCTAAATTATATGATATTAATGCTGATTGTAGATAATAATTACTATATTTTGTCAAGTTGTTTTATTTTTTGTTTTTGGGGTGGGGGGGGTTCATTCCCTACAGCATGAATCTAGAGAAACATTACTGGGATTCAATATGGTGAATTATAGAGCATGTAAGAATTTGTGGAAAGCATGTGTAGAACATCACACATTTTTCCGTTTGGATAGACCACTACCACCTCAGAAGAATTTTTTTGCACATTATTTTACTTTAGGTTCAAAGTTCCGATACTGGTAAGTACTACTTTCATTATTAATGTTTTGATATTAATTGCTGAGTTTTTTGGAAGTCAAATTCTAGTTTATAGTACTATATAATGTTCAGGGTACCTGGTCGTGTTAACCATATAAAAATCTGATTTTATTTATGTAAATTTGGGCACAGATTTTGTCCATCTCAACATGTCTTTGTAAAGTGATATTTAAGCAGCATGCTCATTATCACCACTATTATTCAATAGGGTACTAGAAATACTGGCTTTCGCAATAAGAGAAGAAAAAGAAATTGAAGGAATTAGAATAGACACTCAGGGAACAAAACTTGTCACTCTTTGCAGATGATATGATGGTGTATATATACTTGGAAAATCCTAGAGAATCAACTAAAAAACTAGTTGAAATAATTAACAGTTTGCAAGATATAAAATAAACCCACTTAAGTGATGAGCATTTCTCTAATTACCAACAAAGTTTAGCAGCAAGAGATAGAGAAATTCCATTTACAATAATTAGACAACATCAAATACTTGGGAGTCTAGCTGCCAAGACAAACCCAGGAACTATATGAACACAATTACAAAATACTTTTCACATTAAAAAAGTTATAACTAAGCAGTTGGAAAAATATTATTTGCTAATGGGTTGGCTGAGCTAATATAATAAAAATGACAATTCTGCCTAAATTAAATTGCTTATTCAGGGCCATACCAATCAAACTACCAAAAAATTATTTTATAGATCTAGGAAAAATAACAACAATTTATCTGGAAAAACTGAAGGTCAAGAATATCAAGGGAATCAATGGGGGAAAAAATGTGAAGGAAGAGGGGCTAGGTATGCCAGATCTCAAACTGTATCACAGAGTGGTAATCATCAGAACAATCTGGTACTGGCTAAGAAATAAAGTGGGGGGTCAGTGGAATAGATAGTGTTTTATAAACCCAAATATCCAACCTTTTGGGACAAGAATTCACTATTTGACAAAGACTGATGGGAAGACTGGAAAGCAGTTCAGCAGAAACTAGGTATAGGCCAATATCTCACACCATATACCAAGATAAAGTCAAAATGGAGAAATGATTTAGACATGCAAATTAGGGGAGCATAAAATAATTAAACTGTCAAATCTATGGATAAGGGGAGAATTCATGATCAAAAGATAGCATTACAAGATGTTAAATACATACTTTTGATTAAATTAAAAAGGTTTTGCTTGTGCAAAACCAATGTAGCCAAAATTATAAAGAAAACAGAAAATTAGGAAGTTATTATAGTGTTTCTCTGATAAAGGCCTTATTTCCCAAATATACAGAAAACTGAGTCAAATTTATAAGAATGCAAGTCATTCCCCAATTAATAAATGGTCAAATGATATGAATACGCAGTTTTCAGACAAAGAAATCAAAGCTATCTATAGTCATATGAAAAAAAATGCTCTATATACTGTTGATTGGAGAATTGCAAATTAAAACAACTTTGAGGTACCGCCTCACATATATTAGATTGGCTAATATGACAGAAAAGAAAAATGCCAAATGTTGGAGAAGATAGGGCAAAAATGGGACACTAACACACTGTTGGTAGAGTTATGAACTGATCCAATCATCTGGAGAACAGTTTGGAACTATACCCAAAAGGCTATAAAATTGTGCATACCATTTAATTCAGCAATAGCTCTAACTAATTCTGTATCCAAAAGAGATTTGGGGGGGGGGGGGGGGCAGGGCCCTGTATGTACAAAAATGTTTGTATCAGCTCTTTTTTCTGGTAACAAAGAGTTGGAAGTTGAGAGGATTGCCCATCAATTGAGGAAAGGCTAAATAAATTGTAGTATGGGATTGTGATGGAATGCTGTTGTGCTATAAGAAATGATGAGCAGGGTGCTTTTTAGAAAAACCTGGAAAGATTTACATGAACTGATCCAAAGGGAAGTGAACAGAATCAGTTGACCATTGTATACAGTAACTGCAATATTGTAGGATGATCAACTGTGAATGACTTAGCTCTTCTCATCAATATAGTGATCTATGACACTACAGTATAGTGATCTAAGACACATCCTGAGGACTCGTGATCAGAAATTCTATCGCCCTCTAGAGAAAACGGATGGAATCTGAATGCAGATGAGAGCATACTTTAAAAAAATTTTTTTTTGTGGTCTCTGTTTTCTTTAACAACATAACTAACGTGCAATATGTTTTGTGTGACTACACATGTATATCAAATTGCTTGCCATCTCAGTGAGTGAAGAGGGGAGAGAATTTAGAACTCAAAATTTTAAAAAACAATGTTTTAAAAAATTTTATTTGTAAATGCTAATACATAAAACATTTTAGAATTTTTTCAAAAATGAAACTACAACTTCTCAAATTACTCTCTCCAAAACCAGTCTCAGCCCTGTATGAAAATAAGATCTTGATAAATTATTGTTTATAATTGATTATAATGATTTTAATATTCTTTATAATGCTAGAAAAATACTTCCACTTAAGTCTACTTTTATTGTCTGTAAAAACAAAGCCTAAATTACAGTAAAGATACAATTAGTCATCATATTGTGTTTGGGAGTGCCAACCAGTTTTCAAACAGTTTGCGCAAAAAAAAAAAAAGTCAAATACAGGAGGGAGAGGGGAGGTGAGGGAAGGAAAGAAAATTTGGAACTCAAAAAAATTTTAATTTGAATGTCAAAAATTGTCTTCACAAGTAACTGGGGGAAAATAAAATATATTTTTTAAAAAGTTAAATATGTGGTTAGGCAAAAAAAACCACAAACTAGATTTAATATTCTCTGTCTGTTGTTATGAAGCTCTTCCGTCCTCTAAAAGGTAGATGACTATTTGAATATGTTGAATGGGCATATGTGCTATATGTCATAACTGAAATAGAATGATCCCTGAGTTCCTTTCCAACTCTAATATTTTGCTTGATTGCCTTAAAATAGTACATATATCATTATTATATATAACATGTAATTGTGATAATATATTACATTTTATTATATACAATAACCTCATGTATTACATGTTTATTGCATATGCATATATTATAAAATATTAAAATAAATAAGATACTACAATGTTTATAGAGCAAGAGGGAAAAAGTTTGAACTCTGCCATGTTTCATTTTTTTATCTGGAAATAATCTGTCTTCCTAGAATAATGCAAAGTGCCAGCATCAAATAAACTTAATTTTAGGTAAGATATAACCATTGTTTTAGTTAACCAATCTCTGATTTCCACAAGCTCTCAAACCTCTCTAAAACAAATTGTATGCCAAAGGTAAAGCAACTTTAGCTGTCTCCATGGTGTAGGACACCCAGAATCCAAAAGTTTTTTTTTTTTTTTAATGAACAGAAAACTCCTGCAGTTTTTGTTTTTCTTTCTCATATGGATGAACAAAGTAATAATATAGTACTTGGTTGATGGATGAAGTGAAATTCCAAATTCTATTTTATTTGTGAAGAAATGTTTACATAAAAGTTTTAATTCTCAATTTTCCATCACTGGCTTTGTCTTTGAATTGTTAATTAAAAAGAATAGCACGAGTGTATTCAGCAACCAAATACTGTGTTACCAATTTCCTTGCTCGTACTCCAAGAAAAGTGAAATTGATGGGGGAATTTGAAATTAAAGACACTGCTGCAACTTGGTTTTTAATAAATTTTTTCTAGCCAGCTCGAGTTTATGATTCATTCTATCCTTGTCACTGCACTTTTTATAATAGAACTAATTGGTTTAGCTGTGTTTGGGTCTCTTAGTATCATGTTTGTCTGAATTCTTCTACTTCCTAAAAAAAAACAAAACCCAGACATTTGAAGTGATAGAGTTATTAACAGAATAATATTGTTCATAGTCATTTTTTCCCATTATTGTGTAAATTTGTTTCTTTTAGTGGGAGAACAGAAGTCCAGTCTGTGCAATATGGCAAAGAAAAGGCAAACAAAGACAGAGTATTTGCAAGGTAAGGTACTGCTATTTTAGCCCTTGCATGAAAATTATACTGTACTTATAGGACCATCATTTCTTTCAGCCATTCCAGAAATCTACAAATTAGCAAATATTTATTGAGCATCTGCTACTTAGAAGGCATTGTGGGGGACTTGAAGAAGTACCCCCTGCCTTCAAAGAGTTTTCAGTCTTATTGAAAAACAGATACGTGGAAAAAAATACATAGGAAATTAAGTAGCCCAGTATTTAAATAAAACTACATTACAGTTACAGAGGTCATATTTCAAGGTAGTATGTGATTGTGAGATGAATTATATAGTTGCTGTAAGATGAATTATACAGTTGCTGTAAGATGAATTATATAGTTGCTGTAAGAGTCCGGAGAAAAGAGACATCACTTCAGACTGGTTAGTCATGGAGGAGAGAAGAGATAAAATTTGAGCTCGGGACTTGAGACAGATTTCCATTGATTAACACAAGGGAAGAGACCATTAAGTGAAAGGAAATGGTGTTTGCAAACCATTGTATACAAACTTTATTAATTCTGCATAAATGGACACTCATATTGATCTCATAGTAATTAGAGTACAAACAAAATTGTTTGAATAAAGGAGTAAGTCTTTTGGAGCATTCAAGGTGTAAGGTGATAGTCTACTGGCCATGGTAACGGAAGGTAAAAGAAATGACAGATAAAAAAAAAAAAGAAATGACAGATAATGTAAAGGAAGAATTAAAAAGACATGGTTATCGAATTTGGAGGGCAAAGTAATCACAGTTCAAACTATTAACAAGCATTTAAGTACCTGCTATGTTTTGGGCACTGTGATGAGCCTCAAGTATGCAAAGAAAAAAATACTCCCCAAACCTTCAAGGAATTTACATTCTAACTTGTACATATATAAGCATTGCGTGCACACGCGCACACACACACACACACACACACACACACACACACACACACTCTTAAAATAAGTACATGGTCATTTTGGGAGGGAGAGCACTAGCAGCCAGGAGAGTAGGAAGGACTTTATGTAGAAAATAGCATTGGAACTGATGAAACACTCAATACTTGGTGATGTTTTGGAGACCTTTCAATAGAATGGAAGAGGCAGAAGCCCTGCTTTGGAGTTTATGGACGAACAAGTAGAAAAGAAATAGAAACAGAGCGTAGACTACACATTTGAAAAGTTTGTCAGTAAAACTAAGGATATTTTCCTCTACTTTTTTTGCAGTCCACCCATAATCCTTTGGTGGGCCGCAGGTTATGCAGGCCTGCTCTGTACCATGCTGCAGCAAATTAAGTTTGCTGCCCAGCTAGTGTATGTTAGCATAATCAACAGAAGACTAATAAATCCATTGCTGAGTAGCAATGAGGGGATCAATTAAAATGAGAGCACAAAATGAGATCATTTGTAGTGAATCAAGCCCATGGTTCACTGACTTTGTCAAATACTTCTTTGTACAATAGCAGTCATAATGGGGGAAAAAATGTGAGTAGGGATGATCCAGAGCTGGGATTTACCCCATAGACATGAAAGTGCACTGTTTTGTTCATAATGGTGTTAATCCCTCAAGTAAGAGGGATGCAACAATAAAATAATATTTTTAAGACCCTTGAACCTAAACATAACTGTGCATTGTAAATATTTTCCAAAATTTAGAGCATTAGTGTTATATGCTTTGGCAAAATTGGCTGTTCCATTGTCATGCACAAGGAATTTTATTAACTATTTGCTTGCATGTTGTAAGCACTCAGTAAGTCTTTATTAAATTGAAAACTAAAAATCTAAATAATTCATTGTGTTGGTATTTGGGTGAAGGGAGTTGTTTTTCTTTTAAAAATGGTCTTGTGTCTAAGTCCTAAAAGTAGACACACCAACACAAAGATAGTTCTTGCCTTTAAAGGAGCTTATATTCTGATGGTGGAAACTTCACACTTAGGGAAGTGGGGGCCAAGGCAACTTGAATTGGGAAAGTTAGGAATGGTAATCTTTTCCCATAAGGGAATAGGTGGTCATGATGAATTAATAAGTGTTTAAAGTCCTACTCATGAATTTAAGCTGCTTGGCCCCAGTTTAACTCATAAATGGAATAGAAATGTGGCTTTAGGTCAGAATAGACTAACTAGTTTTGCTACCAAATGGTAACATAAGCTCACTGCATTCACCTATGTCAGCAAAACAATTCAGTTGAGCTTACTGTTTTCTTGTTCAGTCTTTTCAGTAGTTTCTAATTCTTTGTGACCCAGTTTGGGGTTTTCTTGACAAAAATATTCGAGTGGTTTGCCTTTTCCTTCTCCAGCTCATTTTACAGATGAGGAAACTGAGGCAGACAGGATTAAGTGACTTGCCCAGGGTCACACAGCTAGTAAATGTATGAGGCCTAATTTGAACTCAGGAAGATGAGTCTTCCTGACTTCAGGCCTGGTGCTCTGTCTGTTGCGCCACCTAGGTACTGTTTTGAGCAGTGTGCTAAATGTGTTAGGTTCAAAGTTCTGTGTCATGTACCAACATCAAAATGTCCTTTTTAATTACTTTAAATCGTAGTAGCAACTTAGATATTTAAATATATCTAACTTGAGGCTATCTTAGTCAAATTATTTCTTATGGTGCACTGACATTTATTCTAAATTCTGTTAAGGTACGTATACCTCTACTTTGGGTAATTGTCAGTTATTTGTAATCTGTACTTGGGAAGTCTGTGAGTTAAAATGAGTAAAGACTTCAGTATTCCTATATTAAACACAAATTTTGGAATGAGGAGCTTTAAAAAAAAACCCACAGTAAGGCTTAGTACAAAAGGTATTTTGTCATAAAAGATTATTGCACATTGAAGTTTTGTACTTTTCTGAATCTTTCTATTAGAGGAAGTGTGTAATCTGTATGCATAATTCATTTTTATTGACCTAAGTTGAAAATTGAGATAAAACTTTTTTTTCCTTGTTTTGAAGCTGAAGAGCACTTCTAAATGATTCATTTCTTTTTTTGTAACTGAACCAGTACTAGTATTGGGTACTAGTACCCTAGACCATTGAAATAGATGTGAGCCCACAGGAGTAAGGACCTTATAGAACTTTAAGATAGTTGGATGTTTTATCTGCTTACAAATGAAAAGAATAAAATTGTCTTGCATTTTTCTGTTAAAAAATGTTCCTTTAACACAATTTACCTTATAATGAATCAGTAAGTATTTATTAAGTGTTTTCCATGTACCAAACACCTACAAAACCAAAAATGTAACAGTCTCTGGCTCAAGAAACTTAGATTCATTTGGGAGAGATAATAAATATACGTAAGATGGATATAGATATAGATTAGACGTAGAGATATTCAGACCTAATCTCTCTCCTGCATCACCAACTGCCTCTTGACCATCTCAAATTGGATGTTTATCTATTGACATCTCAACCCAGCATGTCCAAGATAAAGCTCAATTTTTCACCCCAGACTTTCCATCCATCTTCCAAATTTCCCAATTCCTATACAGCACATCATCATCCTCCTAGTCACTTGGGCTCACAACCTTGCTGTCATGCCTAATTCCTCACTCTCACTCCCCACCCCACCCCTGCCATGTATTTAATCTGTTGTTTAGTCTTATTGTTTTCTACCTTCACAATATCATACTTGTTTCCCCTTCTCTCCACTCACATAGCCAATTCTCATTCCCCTGGACTGCTGAAGGAGCCTTGTCCCTGAAGGAGATGATCTCTCCTTCTTTCTCTCGCTACTCCACTTAGTTGCCAAAGTGACTTTCTTAAGTTATAGGTCTGCCCATTTTACCCCTCTACTCAATAAATTCCAAAGACTCCTTTTACCAAAATGATCAAGTTTTTTTAAAAAATTAGTAAGTTTTTATTGCTATCTTTAGCATTTAAAGCCCTTAACAGACAGTTCCCTTCTTGCCTTCCCGGTCGTCTTACTCATTCCAGCTACCGAGACCTACTTGCTATTCCTCACACTCACAGCTCTTGTGACCGTCCCTCTTCACAGGTTATCTCCTATTCATGGAATACATTTCCCTTATCTCTAATTCCTAGCTTTCCTCACTTCCTTCCAGACTCGGCTTAATTCCCACATTATGTATGAGGTCCATCACTCCCCAAGTGTCTCTGCCTCCTGCTAGTCCTGAGATTACCTTCCATTTGTTGTTGTTGTTGTTGTTCAATAGTAACTGACCCTTTTATGACCCAATTTGAGGTTTTCTTGGCAAAAATACTGGAGTTGTTTGCCATTTCCTTCTCCAGCTTATCTTACAAATGAGGAGACTGAGGCAAACAGGGTTAAGTGATTTGCCCAGGGTCACACAGCTAATAAGTTTGTGGCTAGATTTGAACTCAGGTCTCCCTGACTCCAGGGTCATTACTCTATTCGTTTTGCCACCTAGCTGGCCTACCTTCCGATACACTGTATGTTTTATGTACAGAGTTACTTGAATGTTGTTAAATTGTGAGCTTCCTGAAGGCAGGGGCTTTTTTGCCTTTCTTTGTATACCTAGAACGTAGCACATTACATGGCACATAGCAAGAACTTAATAAATGCTTGTTTACTGATTGAATTCCTGACAAGAAGGCACCAGGTGCTGAAGGATATGGAGTAAGTGGCATTTAAGAAGAGCTTTTAAAGAAGCTAGGGATTCTCTGGAGAAGAAGAGAGGCAGAAGTGCATCACAGGCATAGGAGATAGTTCATGAAGAGGCACAGGCATGCTAGATGGAATGTCATGTGTGAAGAAAAGTGGTAAAGTCAGTTAGGCTAAACCAAAGAGTGTAAAAAGGATTGCTGTATATTAGGGCTGAAAAGGAAGATGAGAGCTTGCTTGTGAAGGGCTTTAAAGGCCAAACAAAGAATATTTTATTCCAGATGTAATGAGGAGCCATTACAGTTTAATGAGCCAGGAGAATGATAAGGTAAGAATTAAGTTTTATGATTATCACTTTGATAGCTGTGTGGAGGATGGATTGGCAGGGAGAGGAGCAGGGAGACCAATTAGTCTCCTGTCAAGTTGAGGTGAA